CGGTGAGAGATGGGAGAGATGAAATGAGATGAATTAGGGTTTTATATTTAAATAAAGTTGGTGGAGGTAGGTATATATTTAATTTAATTTAAAAATATTGTTATTAATATTAATTGTGAAATTAAAACCTGATTTTCGATTAAATAAAGTAAAAACCTGATTTTTTAAAAGTCAAAACTAAACAGCTGGTTTAGTGTAATTTCCTCTTAATAAATTTACGTTCCTCTAAGTATGTATGGGCCCACAGCCCATAACATTTTTTTGACTTTAAAGCCACCTAAAATTGTGCAATAAATAAATTTATAATCTTTACTTTAAAAAATTCTATAACTGAAAGCCAATAAAAATATTAAATTACCCTTTTTCTATTATTACTTTAGGGAATCCAACTTGCTTTGCATGATTCAACTATATCGCATAATAATATTTTGTTTATTTGATTTATAAAAGAGGAGAAAAAATTGTTAGGATAATATGATGCACCTACTAATTACCGGTGGCAAATCACAAATCTTTCAATCAACTATGCTGTGTGTACAGAATAATGTACAGAGAAGACACAATAGGGGTGGGCCCACAAATTTTTGCAATATTTTATTCACAGTGGGACCCACCCACATGTGAGATTTCAGGTAAAGTTCTGGTGAAATTCAAGGCTCGAAATGGACAGACTCCGTTTTTGGAGGACAATAAAAGACTCGAGAGACTTTGATGCTAAAGGTTGGTGACAAAGGGAGCAATTTTCGCTTAAATTAAACATAACGTTAGATAAACCGAGTGCCCCCACATTTTAAGTTAGGAGTGTCAATATAAATCATACTTTTTTCTCTCTCAATCATTTATGAAGGGAGATTTCGCTTTCTGATTTTCAGTTTTGTGGTATTTTGTAGGACCCCTTCTTGCATCAAAATCTCACTAAAGATTCCATTTCAAAAGGTATTTTAATCACCTTGTTTACTTTCATGAAGCTGCATCTAATCTCGACTTTTGTTTGAGAATTGGAGTTATATATTGACCAGGTTTTCAAATATTTGGATTTTTAGTTGTGTTTTTTTTTTCAGTAGTCGAACTAAAGGTGGAATGTAGACTGTTAATTCCTTGCTTCATCTGATTCTGATCTGAAAGGGTTCTCTTTTATATGTGTAAAGTTCTTTTCTTTGATGCTTAGACTTGTGGGTTTGATTTTTCTTTGTAGGATTATTACTTGAAAGACTAAATTTTCTTTGTTCAAGATTCTACTGACACTCTGTGTGACAATTTGTTTATACTTTTCTTGAGAGCTAATGCGTGTTTTGGTCAACAGAGTAACTCATTTTGATTTTTTGAGTTGGGGAATTTATTTAAAATCATCTTTTCGATGTATAGGTTGTTGAAATACTGTTGTGATTTTTATTGCTTGTGTGCCGATTTCATTTCTCATTTTCTCATGTTTTATTTTTTCCAATTTGTAATTTTTATGGGGAACTACGCTGAATGTCCCCTATATTGCTTCTTTCCTATAATAAACAAATGTACTTGTATATGTTGGAAAAAACTGTAATTAAATTGAGTTGTGGGCTGACTTTGACGCTAATTTTGAGCGGGACCTGCTTGGCTATTTTGAAANAAGTTGATTTGTGTTCTCCTCTGTGAGTACATCGAAATCATATACTTATTTGTCAAAAATGATGATCGGGTGAATGAGAAATTGAAACTTAAAGTATGCCATGTGAAACGAGTTTATGTTGGTAGGAAAACTGAAAATAAAGTTTGTCCCACATAGGAAGTGGATGAAAACTAAAACCACTTTATAAAGGTTTACACTTTAAAATGGTGTAATAATGTGCAGCATAGAGGCTCTTTCCACGTGCGCGCGCAAGGGGGTGCAAATCTTAGGTCGAAATAGGTTTCGGACCTTGAATTTGTGTGCGGATGCAACCTGCGTACACGAATGTCAGACTGAAATGAGCAAAATTGGCCCCTTAAGAGTGTCCCAAAACTGTTGAAACTCCTGTTTCAATTACTATGAAATGAATGGGTAGCCAGTCTTTATATGTGTCTCGTTTTTCCACAGTTCAGTACACGAATTTTCATCTGCATACAATTTCTATTTTCTTGCATTTTCTATTTCCGTTCCAGTCTGTGGTGATATTTTTCAGACACTTGTTATTTTTGCCGGAGTAGAATCTGTTGTGCTCGGAATCTGTTTTAAGGTAATTGTGTATAACACATGCTTCGGGTTAAAAGTTTTTCTTTAACAGTTTGTTTCGATAACTTATTGTTGATCGTTTTGCATATCACTATTCTGCAATTATCTTTTAATTGTTTACTGCAATTACTAGTTATATAATTTAATCTGTTCTAATGTGCAAATACAGTAACTGTTGTAAAAACCGTGTTTTTAAGATATTTTGCATCAAGTTATAAATTGTAAATCCAGTATACAAAAATTGAAACAACTATCCTACAGTATAAATCTTCTGAGAAGAGTCCAGGAGGTATTTCTGTTCTGTAGAGCTAAAACTATTAATCAACAAGAGAAGGCAGAGATTAAGCTGCAAACATTATGAGTTTGAACCTAGAATAAGAATGAGATGGTTTGGATGTTTTCTTATTCTTTCCTTTGTTTGACATAGAAATCTCAGATCTTGAGAGTCAATTAGTTTAAATTTAATGATCAATTTGGCTTATAATTTGTTTTTAGTAACTCTTTGGTAGTTAGTCTTCATTTCATCAAGCATGCCAGATCACCATGAATTGGTATAGAATGGGTTTATGTTCTCAATTGCATGTTTACAGCAGAGTGACTTGCATTGGTTACTTCTTCCGTCCTAGGTTCAGTGTTCTTAACTTCTGCATTTGCAAGTTGGTGACATTGTTTTCAGCGCTTACTATAATGTAGAATTCACAGTTTTTGGGGCCATCTCGTTTTTCTTGTAATGAGGAACTAATCTTGGTTTTTCCTTCTCTATTGTCCCCTTTTGCTTGCTAGGCATGATGGGGAGTAGGTTCTTGGGTTTATGTTGACTATTGAAAAACAGATGTTCAATAATATCAGATTGGTGCCAAATAGGCCTAATGGTGGATATAGTTCACGAACTTGTCGTGGTTCATTTCTCATAGACCATTTATGGTTTTTAGTTATGCTTAATATACATTTTCCCGGATTTTTCCTCACATAGTTGGGAAAAAAAAAGTTACTATTTTTAAGAGTCTCGGGATTAGTGTTTCTGCCTTTCGATGGATCCTGAATTTAATTGCTTGCTCCGTTGTTTTGCAGGATTTTTTGTGTCTTGATTATCGAGTCCTCAGAATCCATATAACAAAAATTCAGGGGAAAACTTTGCCAAAGTACTGACTTTTGTTAGCAAAGTTACAGGCCGTTTGGAATCTTGTCGCTTTGCAGAATCTGCTATGGTATTGTTATTCTCCAACGAAAAGTTCATATCTTGGTAGTTAACTTTTTCTCTTGCCCCCAATGGGGTAAAGAATCTTTAAAGCATTGGCTGTAATAATCTAAGAATCATAGGAAGTACTGGATAGCGAACCTCAATAATTTATCATGTTTCGCTTTGCGGAATATGGTAGTTAAGTTAAAAACTTAACAGTGAAACGTGTCAAGTTTTGCTTCATTTTTTATTTTTTTCTATTGAACGTAGTCAACAACAACTATGATCCTAGGTCTTTGCTTTTTCTATATAGAGCCTGTTTGAGCTTCATTTTTTTCCAAAAATGCATTTTGAAATAGTATTTTGATGGAGAATGTGTGGTTGAAAATGAGAGAGTAAAATGTATTTTGAAAATAATGGAGAACAAACAAGGGCATAGATTATGCTATGTGTACACATGGTTTCACATTCTCATTTATTTCATTGTGCTGACTATTGTAGGCAACCAAAGAAGATCTTCCCCCAAATGTAATAAAACAGCTGGCAAAAGAATTGAAGAAATATTGATGAGACACCTTCTGAGGGCATTATAGTAGGCGTAAATGATGATAACTTTTCAATTATATACGCTGATATCGATGGCCCGGGTATGAATTTTCCGCATTTAGTCTTTTCCATTTTTGCCATCGAACATTTTTCCCTGATTGATCATATCTATGACCTTGCAGCTGGGACTCCAAATGAGAATGGTGTTTTCCGTATGAGGTTAATATTTATTGAGATAGAGAATATCAAAATTGGATTGAATGAATAAATCTCTTAATGATCATTACAGTCGTTCTATAAATAGGACTGGAAAATGAATGATTAACTAACTAATCAACTAACTAACTAACTTTAAAAGTAACACAACTTACGAACTTTATAATACAGTTGTGCAATGAGCTGAGCAGAGCTGGAGCTGAAGCTGCTGGTTAGCTGAAGCTTCTGTTAATATTGTCCAATGATTTCCCACAATCATATGTGATGGACATGTAACCATTTGAGGACCCAATTGGTGCTTTTTTTAGGCTATTTTCTGACCAAGATTTTTCATCCAAACATTGCCACCAATGGTGAGATTTGTGTTAATGCATTGAAGAAAGGTTGGAACCCAAGTGTCGGACTGCGGCATGTTTTAATTGTAAGTTCTTTCAAACTCAGTGGTTTACTACTACTTATGTTCTTTCCATAGAGATTGATAAAGCCACGACTTCTGAAGTGAATATGATCCTTTTCGTCTTCTTTCGAATGACAGGTGCTTGTTGATTGAGCCATTTCCGGAATCAGCTTTAAATGAGAAGGCTGGCAAGATGCTGCTTGAAAATTACGAGTATGCTAGACATGCAAGGTAAGACATGTCATCCTAGTTTTATTTCGTTCTCTTCTTTATGACGTCTCACAAGTAGGAAGATGATTACTCTTATTCATATGGTGCTAAATGGACTTATCTTTCTTATGAGATGCACTGCAGTATTGGGCCATAAATTATGATCTTTACTGATCATATAGTTTGTCGTGATGTGTGGATTTTTTATGACTGTATTATGAATCGTGAAACGTGCTTTTTAAGCTGAACATTTTCCCCGGGGTTTAAAATGACAGGCTTTTACACTAGATTACACGCTCTCAAGCAGAAGCTAAAGTTCAAAACAGGAGTTATTTCCGAGTCTACCATTACCCGAAATGTTGATCAGACGAACTCCTCTGTAAAGAGTGCTGACCAGAAGAATGCAGTACCAGGTCCCACATCTTCATTAGCCTCAAAACTCGAAAACAGTCGAGATCAGCCAGCTGTCATAACTTCAACAACTGAGACGGGAGTTGGCAGATCAATGACAGCTCCATTGACACAGAAGAAAGAAGTTCGGCTGTCAAAAGCTCCCACAGACAAAAGAAGATGGATGCAAGAAAGAAAAGCTTGAAGAGATTGTAAAAGTTCCATGGATTTTGTGGCTGATGGTTCCTGTTTATCCAATTGAACATAATTTTCGGATAAATATTTATCTTTCATTGATATATTAAATTCGAAGTTTTCAATTCAACTGCTCCATTTTAGTATTTCGTTTTTGGTTTTTTTAAGGTTTGGTTCTGACATTATTTCTTGGTATAAGCAGTTTTAACAGTTTTTGACAAATTTTCAAACCAAACCGTTTAAACCGATTTGAGGAAAACAAAACCAAAACCAAACCATTTTGAACGGTTTGAAAAAAACTCAGACCTAAACCTAACGGTCTGGTCCGGTTTTAAACCGCTGGTTTCGCCGTATATTGTTTTGTCTATCTATTTTTATGACATTAATTCATTGAATTCAATATATATTTATATCTTACTAGCAATAAATCTAAAACAAACTAAATATATTTACTACAAATTTAAATACCAACTAAATTAAAGTGAAATCACAATAAACTAAAATATAGTTTTTTGTTTGCCATTTTAGGCTAAGACGTTACGATAACATTACAATACAAGTCTATTAAACTAAATATAAAGCCCAAAAAACATAATTATGTTCAACAAGACCTCGTGATCATCATATCTGAAAAATAAAACTACTGATTAGACAGAGAGAATAACCAGCCATAATAATAAATCGATTGTTTATAATATCTAAACATAACAATTACACAAGCTTACCG